CCTGTGGAACCTGGTTCCAGTATTTAAGAGGGCTGCAGAACAGGCTCTCGCTCTCTCTCGGCTGCCCTGCTCGGTGCACCAGGCCAGCGCTCCTCTGTGTGTTGAATTGTTAGTTGTAAACCAGTGTGTTGGGATAAATAAATGATTGTTTTGGGCATCTCCTGTGTGGAACTGTTGTCCTTTTGTTACAAGCAGAGCCAGCTTGTAACAAACACACAAAAAAACATAGCAAAGCAGACTCATTTCTGGGTTTTAGGACCTCAAAGTGCTGCTAACTTCAGGCCGCTGTCCTCACAAAGACTCCATACAGATCTGTTCTGTTTAATAGCTTCCTCTTACAAACTCCAATAGACTGTATTGACCTGATGTAATTACATGAGTTAAAGCACTTATGCTGTTTTCATAGAGAATTAGGTTTCCTGCAGCACTGAAGAAATCACATTATAGAGAAATGAGAGCCAAGTTTCCTACAGAGAGCTTACGATATGTGTGTGAGTTGTATTGTCATATGCTCAAAGCTACAGTGTAGAAATGGCAATGAAATTCTTCTGACCCGCGCTCCTCCAACGATGCAACATATATAATACAATACAAAAATAGTATAAATCAGTGCTTCTCAAAGTGTGGTCCGCGGACCACTGATGGCCCGTGAGCGCCCCCTAGTGGTCCGTGAGTATATTGGTAAAATCTCACATTTGAAATAAATAAATAAATTTAAGTTTTCCGCCCTCTCGCAGGAATATCTCGGCAATGGAGCGAGCTTAAGTTTCACTTTCGATTGCATGATATAGCCCAGCGCAACACCTTCGTCACACATGTTGCCACTTGTTTGTACCATTTCCAGGCGATTTATAATCTGTTCTAGAAAAACGATGTGTTTTTGGATATTTGTGGAGTTAGGTGGTCCGCGAGTGTTTTTTTATTGGTTAAGTGGTCCTTGGTATGAACAAGTTTGAGAAACACTGATGTAAATATAGTACAAGAACAGAGTATGATATTAAATAATGTACATTAAGACAAATTAAATAGGGTTTATTGCTGTGATAACTATTTATTTCCCGCTGTGTGTGAGGGGAGTGACACTGAGTGTGTGAGGGAAGTGACGAGGAGTGTGTGAGGGAAGTGACGCTGAGTGTGTGAGGGAAGTGACGCTGAGTGTGTGAGGGGAGTGACGCTGAGTGTGTGAGGGAAGTGAGGATGAGTGTGTGAGGGGAGTGACGCTGAGTGTGTGAGGGGAGTGACGCTGAGTGTGTGAGGGGAGTGACGCTGAGTGTGTGAGGGAAGTGACGATGAGTGTGTGAGGGAAGTGACGCTGAGTGTGTGAGGGAAGTGACGCTGAGTGTGTGAGGGGAGTGACGCTGAGTGTGTGTGAGGTTCTTTTTACGTACCCCTCTAGACCTCTCGAACACCTCCCCGTTGATGACCCTCAGCTTCTCCTGCTGCAGGCTGAACTCCAGGTCTTTGGGCTTGCTGGCGCTGTAGATGAAGATGGCCAGCAGCACCACGGGCGCCTGCAGGAAGAAGTCCAGCGAGGGGTGGAAGTTGAAGAGGAAGAAGGAGAGGCCGGTGACGAGCACCGTGTTGATCTGACCCGTCAGAACGTGGAACATGTTGTCTCTGAACTTCAGGATGAAGGCCACCAATAAACCCAGAGCAGCTGAGGAGAACAGCGGGAAGAGGGAGAGGTTTTCAAGAAATGTGCACGAAGTATGTCTTAATTTATCTATAAAAGTCTTAATAGGTTTTTTTAACTCTGCAGCTTTAATCCAGTCAATGTGATCAGGGGGTCACAGGTTCAAACCCCCCTGCAGTCAGCATGTCGTTGTGTCCCTGAGACACTTCACCCCAAAGTGCTGCTGTGGGGATTGCCCTGTACTGAGTAAGGAAGTCTCTTTGGAGAAAAGCGTCTAACAAAGTGACACGTCATGTAAACTATCATCTCAGATCAGAAACACCTCAGTCGTTTAGGAAGAAAACTAACAAATCACTTATTTAGTCGTTTACTGTATGTATAAGGAGGTGTTATTGATCCGCAGCACTCACCAGTGACCAGCACCAGCCCCAGAGAGAAGACGTTGTGTCCGTGCATCAGACCGCAGTGAACCGTGAGACCTCGAGCCTCTCGACCCAGAACCAGAGTCAGACCGTTAAACACCACGCCGAAACCATACCTGCAGAAACATCGAGAGAAGAGCTACGATTAGCATTGAGTTTACACATGTGGTTTATATATATATATATATATATATATATATATATATATCTTCAGATCAGAGGGGGAAGTAGTGGAGTACAAATACTTTGTTACTGTACTTAAGTACATCTTTCTGGTATCAGTACTTTACTCCACTACTTATTTTACTGACAAGTTTTTTTACATGTTGAACCCAAATACTTATACTTTCTACTTTTACATGTTGAACACAAATACCTGTACTTTCTACTTCTTACATGTTGAACTCAAATACCTGTACTTTCTACTTCTTACATGTTGAACTCAAATACCTGTACTTT